CTGCACCTTTGCAAGCATTCCAGAATATGGAAAAAAAATTGGCTTGGAGACCTCTCGCAATGGCTGTTTGGAATATGTACCTTGTTTGATGGCAGTTTGAAGTCCCTCTTGCAGAAGATGGGTTTGATGGCAAGAGGGCAGCCCATGGGGCCAGGCTTCACCATACTGAAAATTGACGCAGTTGGTGCAGACACCAACCCTCTTGTCCCTTTTTGCAATTCAACTAGTCCTAAATGCAGCAGCCCTGAGTTTTAGAAACTTGGAAACCTGTGGAAAAACAGTGACAATATATGCTTTGGCCAGGACTTTGGCAAATCACTGCACAAAATGTGTGGCAAGAGTTGTATGTATTTGTATAAATGTTGTATATACTCATTAATGCAAACAAACAAACAAAGAAACAAAAAATAATAGAATATGGCAGCAAAAGAATCAAAGTAGTTGTGGTTTGAGGGTATGTATCGTAGGGCACTACATGAATTATTTGGACAACACTGGAAGTCCACGTCCTCAGGCTGGACAGGGAGGGAATTATTGGCTTCTTACAGAAACCTCATGCAGAACTAACTGCTTCAACTTGAGGAGAAAATAAGATACAGTAAGAGTGAAGAAGAAGTAATCAGTTTAACAGCACCTATAGAGAGGAAAATAATAAAAAGAGGTGTCTTGATTAGTAGGCAGTAAGGTTCACCAAAACGAAATTATGGCAAATTAAATTAATTTCTGCCTTTGATAGCTAAGAGGCTTAGTGGATAATGAGAGAGAGGGACGCATAATAGAGCCCAGTTCCAGCAAGGCATTTCTGAAGGATCCGAAGGGCTCTTTTATGGGGAAACAAAGCAAAACCTTTGTCAAATTGAAGCATGCTTAGAAAAAGTATGGGTGGAGAAGAAAAAATGGGTTGAGAAGGGCTCCAGGATACTGTTCTGGAGATAATTTAATTCGAAGGCACGATTTCTGTCAACAGATCCATGAGTAACTAGTTGCTTAGAGAGATGGGACAAATTCTGCTGGGAAGCTACTTTGGTTGGAATAAGCATGCTCACTATTTTAATGATGGTTGTTTCCTATCTTTTTTATAACTTATTTTTAAAAGGACGTGTTTTTTTAAAAAACGTTCCCAACAGAAATTAAAAACACCACAGGCAATTTTGCTACATTTTGCAAAGTTATTTATGCTATCCTGACTGTGTTTCAGTGATGAAACTGTACATTTTGAGGTCTTCTGTCCGATTAGAACTCATAGATTTTAATCCAGAATTGCTGAACAGTGCAGCTGGGCACCTAAAGCCACACGATGACGCAGTGTCAGTGCCAGGTGGATTTAAAGTACTGACCCTTCTTCTCCCACACAGCAGCCTCTGAGCTCCCTAAAGACAAATAGCATCTCCTAATGTGTCCCTGTGACAGGCAAATTGGATATCTACGCTACTTTTATTGCAGAATATCAGGTGTCTGGAACTGGAAGTCATGGTCCTTAGCTAGAAAAAATAGATTGACCCTTTCTTCTTTTGGTGACTTCAATCATAAAGTGAAGGTAGTTTAAGACTGGGTAATGGTATCCTCAAATCTGCTATAGGATCTATGTGGCTGCTTAGGAGATGCCTAAAAATGGGGAGCCTGAGCCTTAGCTGCTAAAAATCTCCATCGCTAGTCCATATTCATCTCTGAAGCCTTCTCTCAAAGTTGAGAGGCCCATATATATGCCCATATATACCAAGGACTTCAGTGCTTCCCAAAAGCCAGTTCTAAGAAGATGGCTCAAGTCTCAGGGTGTGAATAATTTCCTTATGCATGCTCAATGCACCCCTTGCGTCCTTATGCCTCCAACAACCATGGGATATATCTAAATGCAGGTACTAGCCCATTTCTGCTGGAGCCAGAGATCATGCAAGTCGCTCAGTGCCCCGCTTTGTTTGATATCATTTTTATGTCTCTTTGTGAAAGAAAACTGCAGTGAGCATAAAGCAGCTGCCGTGTTAAAGAAATAAGGTTACCATTTAAGGCAGGGTATGCCACCTGGCTTAATTATAGTCAAACCTACTTGACCACCCGCTTCTTAAGTGCATGAAATGACTGCACTGCTCTTGCGCTATGCCAAATGGGATACTAAATGGGATGGAGTTTAAGCTAGTGCAATAAAGGTGCTCTTGATCTGCACCTGAAAAAAGAAAATGCATTATGGCTCTTCTATCAGGTGAAAGCGAAATGAGCCTTATCCTGTGTTGTAAAAGGCAATAAATGCCTTTCAACCTGTTGCTACCAGAGCATGGCCCGCTCTTGGATTATTCTGATTGACAGCAGGCACGGCAAGGAGTAGAGGAGTTTTCCCTCTGTGAGTCTTTGGTGGTAATTTGAGAGGTTTTTTTGTTTGGTTGGTTGGTTGTTTTTTTTTTTTTTTTTCTTTTGACTTGGTCATTTGTCAGGAGTCCCAAAGCAAACAGTAATCAAGCTACTACACCTGATCCCTGCAAAAAAGTGAAGCAGCAATCCCTCTTTTGATGGGCTCGTCCTAAAACTCCAAAGAGCCAAAGTGAGCGGTTGCATGCTGAGGATTAGGGGCTCAGTGGACCGTGGTTCTCCAATAAAGAAAACAGCAGCCAAAGAAAAGTCTTAGACAGCAATAGGGCATTTCTTGTATTATGTAGTGCATTGTCTTTGCATTTTTTTATATACAAAAAATGCACAGCAAGAGATATTATTCTCTCTAACAGATGCCCTTTTTTCTTTTTTCTTCCTCTTTTTTTTTTTCTTTTTTTTTTTTTTACAGTTCTTATTTTCAGAGTAGCACTGTAACCAGGTTAAGTCCTTTACTATATTTATGTTTTAGGTACACCGCACCTCTATTGGTTATTAAACTTATTATTTCAAATCATCAAGGTTTTTTTTCATCAGAGACACCCCTTTAGTTAACTTCCCCACTTTCGTGGGGAGAGGAGTATAAAGAAATTTAATAAGAAGAATAGCAATAACAACAGCAATGTCATATCTTATTATCCTTACATATTAGAAGAAAGTGCTGCAGCAAGTGGAATTTCTAGGCCCCTATTTTTTAATGAAGATCTTAATGGCATTTAATGTAAATTAAGTATAATCACTGTCTGATTTCTGAGCATATCTCTGAGGCTGACGAACAAAACGTTAATTGAGCTGACAACATAGTGGGAAGTGCCAAAACCAAGCACTAGAGTGTTGGTTAAAGTGCATTATTTTTTTCTAGCCCCATTTCCAGCATTTTTAAGTGGATCAGGACACCATTTATGTATGCACAGATTTATTACAGAAAATATGTAGCATCGAATTGTCATTAGAATACAAATGAAGGAGACCCTTTTTAGCTTTAGAATTTAAAGCGTATCTGCTGTGTAAGTTTAATCAGCCATTTTACTTTGGGGATGGGGAGTTGCTGGTGTGTAAATCCTTGCCTTGTTCTGCAGGCAGATAATTTAATGAGGTCTACAAAATGACTGGACTTCAATGCTGGTGTCTTGTATTGCATTAAAATGAATTGGTTGTGGAAGGCACAATCTTGAAATAGCTTTTTGTGGAATTCATGCACTCAGTGGTCAGATTTATTCAATTAAAATATATGAGATGAGGCTGAATGTGTCATCCTGAAGGCGGATGATACGACAGAATTCGATTCTCAGTTCCTTCTCTTGGGATGACAGTATGGACTACGCGCATTTGGTAGATACGACCTCTTCAATCTTCAATTGGAAGACATGAACCTTATCAGCTAGTGCCATGAATCCTAGGGTTGTACATAATGAAATTCATTTGATGAGTAAGTAAACAAATGGAATTTTAATTTCACTGAAAAGAGCTCAGATTAACTAGTTACTGATCCATCAGTAACTAGTCATCATTCATCTTTCTCTAGTAGATTGTTTCTCTTTCCTGTATGGGCAAAAGAAGCCCATGTCTTCTGCTTGTTTGTTCAGTCCTTAGCATACATACATCCAAATTACTGTTCTTCAGCTCAGGAGATGTTGTCTTCATAGTATGCCAAGCTTTCATTTGCAGAGCTGTTAGGTACAATGCATAAAATTATTGTACTTTTATCCTTGGCTGCTTTGCCACCTGTGCTGTCTGCATAGAAATCTTGCTTAAGTAAATGAAAACTGTTGAACTTGCTATGGGGTTGAACATTGGATTTCATGGTGTCTGTGGCACCATGTGGCATGAGCTTCACCTTGTGTTTTTGAGGCCTGATGGGCAAAGCATCACACAAGACGGCAGTTGGATGTCAGCATTAGGGTTAGTAGATGGAAGATGAGGGATATGGAGGATTTAAGACAGAAAATCATCTGAAAGGCTCCTCTGCTTTCTTTCACACTTTTCAGAGAAGCATTCAAGAAAGGTGGAAAGAATAAGGATCTGGGACAACCAGAAATCCAAGGCCAGTAGGGTTGGGCCACCTCAGTAACCAGATAGAAAGAGGAAGCAGCTTTGGAAGATGGAAGTGACTGTCAGCAGAATACACGCCAAGACAAGTTCTCAGTTTATGTATAGTTCAGGTTGTGTTTAGTAAAGACTATGTTTTAGGGCTGGGCTTGTTCCTAAAGGGAAATGCTGAAAGAGTTGGCATAAATCTTGGAAAAGTTAGTCTCTGTCGGTGCTGACAGAATAGCTATCTGCTATATATTGGGGCTAAAGGAATGGGATAGAGTATGGGTCTTGGAGATAGAGCCATAAAGAGTCTTCTTAACATTTTATAATCAAAGAATTTCCATTCACTTCACATCCTGCCTACCCTGAAAAAGAGCAGCTGACAAATGAGTCCTTGAGGTGATGCCTCAGATGGGGCCCTCGAAGGGGGGAAAAAAGAGATCATTCTCTCCAAATATTTCGTGACCAGTGTAAGCCCTACCATCTCTGGATGTGATATGAGTCCTGTTGCCTCAAGACCTCTGTAGTTTGAAAAAAAAATGTTCTTTAAGTGTCTTGTTATGCAATTAATTTCAAACACAATTCCCTTCATGTCTCCTTTTCTGCAGGCACGCAACCCAGCAAGAGACTAATAAAACCATCACGACTAGCACCAAAGCCATCAAGCAGCTGTCTGAAGTTGTGAGAGGCTCATCCAGGGTACGTGTTATTTAGGATGGTATTGAACAAAAGTGGTGGGTCCTATGGAGGAAGAAGTAATGAGAAAAAGAAGTGGGGAGTGGGTGCTTTTTGCTGTTGAGCTCTGTGTCTTGTCCTGTAATACAGTGGAAAACACAGCTTGAATTAATAGCTCACCATCGGAAAAAGCAGCTACAGGAACCAGTTCTTCTACCAGAAGTGGATCTTCTGGTACTGAACGTCAACAATTCAGCAACAAAACCTTGACAAGCTTGCAGTGTATCTACTCAGTTGTCTTCCGCGGCTTGGGTGAAAGTACTAGAGAAATCTGTTTTTACATGAATTTGGCATTGGTTAAAGACTCAGTTGGACAGTGGGTGCAGATGAGTTACGAAATGCGTTTAAGTATCTGTAAAGGGCAAAGTATTACAATATGTTTGGACATGGCATTTATTCAGTGCTCTGCACTTGCTGCGAGGCAGTGGTGGAGACAGACACTTACAGGGTGGGCCAAAGCAGAGCAAGTCTTTGAATTGCTCCAAAACAATCCTATCTCTTGGAGTGAAGCCTGGAATGACAGCTCTTCATGAGTAAGTATCAGTGTTAATGCTTTCATCCTTCTTAACTTGAGAGTTTGATTTATGATGGACTACAAGGACTTTTTTTTTTTCCTTTTCCATACCTAATTCAAGCAGCAACAAGAGGGAAGAATGAAGACATAAAAATACTTGTGTGAATTTTGATGGCCAGAGGGTGTAGAAGTGGTAGAATTACATCAGAGCATAATGAAGCAGAGGTTGTCTTTGTGAAGACATGGAGATCTGTTTTTTTTAGTGCTTATTTCCCCAATGCTTTTTGTGACATAAGTTGGGTCCAAAGGATAATTGGGCAAGGTCGTGTTAAAACCAATTATAGTGCCACACACAGATGTTGTTATTAGCCCTTGTAGCCCATGTGGTGTCCGGTGGGAACTGTCAGCAAAATTGCTTTTACTGTCAAGAGGAGGAACAAAATGCTAAGTTAAAGAGAATATATTTAAGAGCTGAAGGAAATGGGTGCACAAACAATTATAGTAATATGAGGTATAAACTTGCAGCTCTCTATTGGCATCACATAATAACTTTTTCTGCTCCCTGGTCAATTAATTTAACTGATTTTATTTCTTTAACTTTTATAACTGTGCAGCTTAAATAATTAAACCTACAAATTTTGATATAAAGCCTGTCACCCTTCTTCCTTATATAGAATAAACGACTCTGGTGGGTATCGGCTGCTAGGTCTGTCAGTCCCTCTTGGGGATCTGGGTAACATTCCAAAGTTTCTTCCCATAAAATTTCTCACAGCATGAAAAGCTTTCCATTAGTTTAGAGCTCCATAGTCAGTTCTTTCTGATCTGATATGGGGTGTATTTCTCTGAGTGCACATGCAGAAAAAAAAAAAGAAAAAAAAAAGTGTTTTTTTTTCCCCTTATTTTCCAAGCAGTAATGCACAACCAGCAAGGTATACTGTGAGAGTTTCTCTGACTTCACTTGAAGCTTCAGGTCCTGCTAGAAGTATTGGAGGCAAGAGATTCAATTGGGCAAAGTGATAGTATTCAGGATGAAGTTACTGATGTGAGTTGACCAGTGTGGCACAAGTGTGTGAGGAGACTGATTTAGAAGACTAAAATAACACATAGTTATATTAGGACTTCCTTTTAAACTAACCTCATAGGACTGAGAGAGATCCATCTGGATCCCAGCTTTTTATGGAATGAGTGTTGGACTATAAGATCACTTCTCCAAGGAAGCAGTCTTGGCTTATTGACCCTTATCTGTGGAATGGGAATAATGATACTTACCATATTATAAAAGTGATTTTAAATATTTGGATGAAGAACAGTAAGAATTGGGATATTCTTCTATATTTGAATACTACTATTATAAATCAGAGAGGCTTATCCCAGGCTTTTATAAATATACATCTTCTATTCTTAAGAGTTTGTCTGAAACAGCTGGAATTGCTTTAAAATTACTTAACCTTTTGGAGTAGTTGCTTTAGCATACATTCACTGAGTTTTGCTTGCTTCCTTGGTTTTTAGAGTAATGCTCACTTCCTCTCAGCTCTGCAGACATAGACTTCTGAGCTCCTGCGTACTTGAAGTCTGAGTTCAGGGAAGTGGGAGCTGCAAGAAAATTTCTGTTCTCTAGGTGCTGGTCTGACATACTTCACAGTTTGAGTTTGGTCTCTTCATCTAAAAACAGTGATTTTGTGGCATGTTGGATAGTTATATATGGGCTGACTGGCATGTTTCTTCTGAGACCACAGTGATTCAAGATGTCCATTTGGTTGTAACGTGAAGGAACTGATTATGCTTGCATTGAACCCCATGATAAAAATCTCCTTGATTGGAATAAGACAAGGATTGGAAAAGAGATGGAAAGCAGATTTTGATCTGAGCCATTAGTGGAAATAATGCAACAAAAAATGATTTTGACATAAAGTAGTGACATTGTGAGGCTATGACTAAGCTGAGATCCTTCAGTGATTATGATGGAACTCACTTTGGCTTAGCAGTGCCTTTCAGTTGTGATGTTTTGCTGGTTTGTGTTATGATAGTGTCATGTTCAGAAGCAGTGATGAAATGTGTCCAGATGTCTCATGTTGATTTAGGATTGAAATACTCCTCACCTCCAATAATTAACAGTAGAAGGGTGGCCTATCCAAATGCATTTACTAAAGATCTTTTAAATAGCTTTGGTACAAGCTCAGAAGATAGATGTGAAACTGCTGAACTTTGAATCAATCGTCTGCCTCCTCATTTAGCAAGTAGAGGATCCATCCACACAAGCTTATTACTATACCTAAAATATAATAATAACACTTCCTTTGTTTTGTTTTGTTTTTAGTCTCTGTTCATTATTGCATGCATTGATGGGGCTACTGCTGCAGTAATTATGCCTTATTGGTTATAAATATTTAAAAATAAATAATATTTAAAAATGATAAAACATTTTCTGTCTATAATGGAGCATGTCCTGGAAAGAATTCCTCCTTTCTATTTGGGAACTATTGCAAGAGAGAGGGCCTGCAGGAATTGGTAGATATTTTAAGGTATCCTCATTAAATATGGCTTGAATTGAACATAGATCAGTTCAATTCTTGCTCAAGCCACATCCATAAAGGGCTTCAAACTCTTGAATTCAGTAATTCAGTAAACCACCTCTTACCATGAGATGAAATGATGAACTCCATCTTGTGGTACCAACTAAATAAGTAACTCTTGATAGGAGGATTTTCTATGGTTATCATGTCCTGCTTTAAATGCTGGTAGTCAAAGCCTCATGTTTATTAAGTAATGCTGTAGCAATTTTATTCTTTTGATGACTGTAAGATGTATATTTACTTGGATTTCACAAACCTTTAGGAACCAGGATTGGAATGAGATCCCCTTCATGCATTGGCCAGGACAGCAACATGTCTCCCTGTCTATTCTTGCCAAGGAAAGTGTCAGCTTAGATAGTAAACCATACTGTAGTCACAATTTCAATATTCCAGTGAATACTTGGGAATTTGGGATTTTTGGAATAGTTTTTGCGTGAAATTGCAAAGCATCTTGTGCTGCCTTGCCAAATAAAACCTTGTGGTGTCCTGGTAATGCTAGTGAAATTGAATTCTAATACAAGTTTTGCCCAACTTGTTTATCTGGTGTGTCACACTTCCCCCGGCCCTCAACCAAACAGACCCCACAAATTGATTTTTCCCTACAGACCTGCCAGCATGGCCTTATTCACCCTTATCTTTCCAATACAGCAAGAGCGACTTCAGCTGGACAGGTTGAAGAACCAGCTGTCCGATGCCATCCAGCGATACGGGGCTGTGCAGAAGGTGAGGAGCTTTCATGCCTTAGTGTGTCAATTTGGGAATGTGTTGACCAGGAGGAAATGGAGAACCCAGGACTGTGGACTGTCTCCACAGAGCTTCCCATATGTAGTCTTCTCCTCTTTCCTTATATCACTATCAAGCCATGTATAATTACATTGGGATATGCAACTGAAGAATAATCCAGGAGAAGCATGAAGAAGAATGCATTTGCTGCCTGTGGCTCTGGTGGACATTCAAAGGTACCTGTGGCATGGCCATGACGTTGGTTTGATGTGTCTCCAATTTCTAAAGAGATGGAGAGCTGGTTGCACAGTTTCCGCGCACCCCATATTTTCTATTCACAAGAAATGTACAGCCAACATTGTAATTAAACTTCAACATTTAACCCACATTATGGTTCTGCTATAGTACATGACCAATGCCATAAGGTTTCCAAGCTCATCTAATGGGTTGGAGTTGTCACCAAGGACGAGATACTCCATAAAAAAAAAAACAACCAAAACATGGACAGATTCCAGTTGCTCCTCCAGTCAGCTTGGCACATCTGTGCAACCTATGGGAAGAATGCACTGGGATTATACAGATATAGTGAAATTTGGCTGGCAACATTCAACTTACAGTTTTATCTAGTTTATCAGCACCATTCTCTTCTGTTTGATTTCCTAAAGCTTGCTGGGGGAAATTCTTTCTGTAAAGAATTACACTTAACAGGATGTATATTATATAACAGCATTGTGCTATCTATAGAGTCATCTTTTATTTTAATTCTTGGCTGTCCTGTTCCAAAGCCCAAGTGTGGAGGCTTAAATTAAATGAGTTTTTCTCCATTAAATGAGAATTTGGAAGGCTCCAGGTAGAGCGCTCACCCCCACATAGGCACACCTTTTTTAAGCTCCTATACAATCTATCTTACATGTTTTATGCTTTTTCTTTCTTTTTTTTTTCAAACTGTCATCAGTACAGAAGTGCCAAAATTAGCCACTGCATTTTGTGAATGCCCGGTTGCGTCAGGAAACCAATCTGAGTGTTAAATTGCTACTTATCCACGTCCTAGCTGTCATTCCTTAAATGCATGTTTCAATTTTGATAACCTTGTCACTTAGGAAGCTTTGAAGAGTTTTAATTCATTCAAAACCAAACTTTTAAATGTGGTTATATTTCTTTGCTTCCAAATGATACAGCTTTTAAAACATTCTTTTATTTAAAAAGCAGAAGAAATAGCTTCACATGACTTATATGACTTTTTCCCTAAATATTTAGACTCCGTTTTCTCAGTGATATATTTTTTTCCCCTTTGGCAGAAAATAGCAGAGAAATCCAAAGCTTTGCTTCCTACTGGGCAGAGAAGTAGCAAACAGGTAAGTCCATGTTTGTCTTTATGTTACTAAAAAAGCACTGTCATCAAAATGCGCTAGCAATGTTGAAGAGTATGTTGCATGCGGAAGCCAATGGGGTGGTTGTGTCTTCAAATTATAGTGCATGACACCTTTGGTGGCGGAAGATGCATAACCTAGGAAAACAAGAAAACAAACAAACAAAAACCCTGTTCTCTTCATTTTCCATTGTTCCTCTGGAACTGCTTTTCTTGATGTGCATTTCCCAGTGTTTTGAATGTTTGGGAATGCACCAAAACCTGGTCTTCTCCCCTCCTGGGACACCACAGTCAGAGCTGAAGAGAAATTGTACTCTAAGTGCAAATTCTTAAAAAGAAGTGAGAGAGTTTGTTTCTTTTTGTTGTTTTTTTTTTGTTTTCTTTTGTTTTTTATCAAGCCTGTTCTCTGTTTTAAGAGGAATCATCTGTTCTACATCCTTCAGCTACGTTACATGGTAGTTAACAATTACATACATGAGCAAAAAAGAGTTGTTATTTTTCTCTTTTTACCTGTTTTAGGAGCTTTATTAATAAATACTATATGTAATCTGGGTATACATTATATGCATATATAAAGACAGGTGTGTACTTACATGGTTATATATATGTATATTTATAAAACAGGGTTAATTAGCATGGGTCTGTGTACATATATAACATGTTTAAGAGTATAAGGGTGGTATATCCATGCATACACATACATATGTGTGTACACACATCTAAAATATGCACATAAGTGTATATGAGTGTGCATTTATGCAAAATCTCCACAGATTTTGATAAAAGATTTGATGACAAGGCCAATTAGCTGTAGTATGAGTCCACCACATATTAAGTAAGTCTTCTAAACCTTACATGCTAAACAGCTTTTAAATATTTTCATCTGATATCATACTGCCAAGAAAACAGAACTTGTTGCTTAATTTTCATAATTATTCATGATAACAGTGCAATTTCTTGTGAAGGGCAGTTAGCAGATTTTCTGCTTTCCCAATGAATCTTCATTCCTCCACTTCATGCCACCTGGTTTACTAAACGAGGAATAGGTTACCAGGAGAGATTGTGTAATCTCCTTCTCTGGAGATCTTCAAAACCCACTCGGACGCAATTCTGTGCCACGTGCTCTAGGTGACCCTGCATGTGCAGGGCGATTGGACTAGATGATCTCTAGAGGTCCCCTTCCAACCTGAATGATTCTATGATTCAATGAAATCCTCTTTGACTTGTATAGGAAAAAAAATGTTTCATTGTCACATTCATGTTTCTTAGGAAGGAAAGGTGGAATGATTTCAAAGAAGACCCTACAATTAGGGCAAATCAGTGAATCAGTGCTTTAATATTAGGTGGGCTTCAGACAGCTATGATTCTGCATCAGATCTTGTCACTTTGTTAATTTTAGGTCAATGAACCTAAGGCCTTTGTGAGCCAAAGTGCTAATGTATTCTTCTAACCTTGTCAAGTGGTCTCATTTAGTGCACCATCACCTTAGAGTGATGGTGCACAGATGTTGCTTTTCGGTTAGACATTCATGGCAATTTTACAGTTTATTTTCAGTCACCAGCTGGCGATCAACCTCGGACGTAGGTATTTGTGTGGTCATGAATCACCAATGGTCTTGAATCTTAGCCACATCCCACAGATGTCAAACGCTTATTTATTTTCATGGTTGAGCTCAGGGAAGTGGGGGGTTCTTTTATGCATCTGTTTTTCTGTTGTTTTATTTTGTTTTGTTTTGATTTTTTTTGCGACATGTATATTACTCCTTGCATTTTTAACCAGCTTTTTTAGACATCGATTTGGCAGTGGAGTGGATTGCAGAGATCGGAGCAGCTCAGGGTGGTGTGGCCAGGCTGGCTGCATGGTTGCATGGCTGTGGCTACGCCACAAATGTGGCCATTGACAAGTGCTGAGAGGATGAAGAGGTCTAAGGGATAAAGGGAGCAAGATGTGGGGAAAAGTACTTAAATTGTGGATTCTACTAGTGGTGAGGGTGAATGTAAAAGGGAGGATGGAAAATGAACAAGTCAGAGGCAAACCATCTGCGTTAAAATGAGCAAGAATACTAGTCTTTCGGAGGCTATAGTAGTAACAGTTTGGGTCAGGCAAGGGTAGAAGAGATTCGATTAAATTGGCTCAGCTAGAGATGTTTTTCTTCCTTGTAGCTTCCACTTGCAAGTAAGTGCCAGTGTTCAGCTTCACTGCATTATGAAAAATAAGGGGGTTCTCAGTGACACTGGCTCAGGCTGGGGACACGTGCTTTAATTCCTGTTTCATTTCCAATGGATCTGAACTGGTTCCTGTGCACTAGCAACTTCAAGCTACCATTTGTCTTCTTGTCTTCCTCTTTCCAGTATAAAAAGAGAGAAATATATAAACTCTTGCTAGAGGAATGTGGATTTTTTTTGTCCTCTGAACTTTTATTATTGTTATTATTTTTTCCAGATGCAGATTGGTCAGGATATTCAAAATTATAGTTCCCCCAGCAACCGTAACTGGACCACACTGCACATATATTAAGGCATTAAAGCTAACACCCTATACAGTAATGCGAAGTACTACATATGTTCAGGGCACCTGATTTATTGGTGGTGTGAGACCGCATGGTGAAATACTTTGCTTTGGTGCACATACAGTCTTGATTCAAACACTACTTGAATGCAGGACTTTGTTTTATTTATGTTTTAATTTATTACAGCTAATTATAGCAGATTTGAAGAGTGGTAGCTTTCCAATATGCGTGTACCTAAATTTTTCTCTCCTGTTAGTGGGTAGAAGATGTGAGGTATTTGGTAACATGATTGTAATATGTTTGTTATGGGATATAATTAATTCCCTAGTACCAGATATTATTATCTGGTACTATTGAAAGGTGAAACTTCAGCTTTGCTCTGAGTAATTTTTAATTGAATTTATTTATTCATAAAGGCAAAATGAAGGCATTGGTCAAAAATTTCCTCTCAGCCTGAAGTTATATAAGTTCTTAATCAACTATATGTTTGCATGCATGTATTTGTGTGTAGACAGAAAGGTTCTCTTCTGCAGGTGTGAATTACTGTTTGTACTGCAAGGTGTATTTTTGTTAATCTAGATGATCATTGTTAAAGGTGAATTGCATCAAATACTGCACTTTTTCCCCTATGTGGATGTATCTCGATGCAAGGAAGCCATCCTGCTCCCACACATAGTATTCAGTTTGGGGAAGGGTGTGTTTCTGGCATCACTTCTCCGCAGCCACTGTAGCAATGAGAAAGAGCTGGGTTAGAACCATGTGGTCCACACTAGGAAAAGTTGGCCACCTGGACAAAATTGTGCCCTTAGGCTGGGTACCTCCTCTAGGACAAGAATTGACCATCATCAAATACAATAATTTTGTAAAAGTACAGTATCAACTTGCCATAATATTAAAAGAAATGGTAGCCTGGAGATAATTATCAGATGATAGCTAATAAGCCCTTCGAACATAAGGAATCTTGTTTTTATTATATTCATTGTGAATTTAATGTCATCTCCTTGCCATTAAAGAATATGTTGTTATGCTCATAGTTAAAGAAATTCAAGTGACAGCAGAATGACTTGAAAAGCTAAGGCCTCTTAAGGCGCAAACCTGTTGAATCACCTAACATGGAAAATCCAGTTCGTCCCTCTTTACTGTATGTCTTCAGGCTATCTTGATGCTTCCCGGATCTTCAGGGACCACAGTTAGCTTTCTACTCTTGCAGTTAATGAGGAAGGTGAAGGAAGGTAGACTTTCTTATCACATCAGTTTTGTGACTGGTTCTTGTGAATCTCCCCAAAGTAAGAGGGGAAAGCAAAGGAATGTTTTAGATCAGGAATGAATTTTAAACTACTCTAAAAGTCTAGTCAGTTTTTTTTTCTTCTACTTTTTTTTTTTTTTTTGGGAAGAGGAAACTTCCTTGGCAATTTTTAGAAATTAAAATTACAGTAATTCTCATAGTGTAATGGCACCCCTCTTCATTTCCTGTCTCGACGGAAAGGTGGAAATATAATTAGTACTCTGGAACATGGCAGTTGCCAAAATATATGTCTTTGTCTCTTATTCCATAAGCCTACTTGACCCTTCCTTCATGGGTCAGGAAATGATGTTTTCTTAGAAGCATAAAAATGGGTAACAAACCTCTATTTACATACACGAGTTTCTTTCTCCTGACTGCATCAATTTATTCATGCTTTAAATGGACTTCCTTCTCGCAGGAAATATCATTTCTCTCTTTCTTCCTGTATTTTCAGAGTTGTTCTTTTTATGTGCATAGCACATAATTCTCATTAGGGGCAACAAGATCTAATCCTTGTTTTTATGGATGAATAATCTCTTGGAAATAATATCGGCATAATCTGCATATAAGTATGTGTGTGATGGCTCTGGTTACTTTTGGTCTCCCCTTGATTTCAATTTTTACTCTCATTATGGCAGCTCTTGTAGCAGCTGTAGATCCCGTAAACAGGGTCTGTGTCACAGTAGATATATGAACACAACTTTCGGATTTTGCCGCCCCAAAGAACTTGCAGGCTAAGCAAATGCCAACAGGTTATTTTGACTGATACACGCTAATGGCTTTTTAAATGCAGAAGGGCTTCTTCACACCAGAAGGCCAAAGCTCAGTTTGAATCCAGCTTCATCTTTTTAGAGAGGTTGCAGCGTGCATTTTTTTCTGAAATGCAAAATTTAATTTCTCACACTCAAAATAAGGCTTATTTTTCCCTGACAAGTGGAGCTTTTTATTTACTCATTCATCTTATTGACTGTAACATCTTATCATAGCAATCACCCCAGTTCTTAATGTTCCAGACTGGCTGCTATATCTTAGGTAATTAAGACTTATCTTTGGCCATAATATATCCTGCTACGTCTTTTCAAGGTCATTTAGTACATAGCGACTTTTATGGAAAAATGTGTTCTTTCAATAATGTCAACTTTTTTAAAAATAAGTGCGTATCCATTTAAAGACATGTTTTAATTATCCCACT